CAAACTAGGTAAAAATACCAACAGGTAAAAAATGTGAACCTAGGTAGTGAGTTTGCCCATTACCTCCACAGAGAAACACAATCTTTGCAAAAGAGAGGTGAAAACTTCTAAAGATATTGTTGTCCCATGCAAGGGGTTGTGGAAACAGGAATGTCCAGCTGGCTGCAATTCATCCAGAACCAGAACCAGAAGCAACAGCATTGCCACAGCTGAGCCCTATGTTCCACCAAATCTCTCATGCTGAGAGGGGGCCTCTGCTATTTGAAGTGAGACATAGTGTTAAAAAGTATCTAATCTGAGCTAATATCTTGACCTGGTAGTGTGCTGTTTGGTCATACCAGCTCAGGTGGTGCTACAGTTCCCACTGATTCAAGCCATATTCAAGCAGTTTAAATTCCATCCGAGTCCCTGTGATTAGTGTTTCCATTCATCTGGTTCTAGGCCTGCAGAGATGCTTTAAAAATGGAAAATGATTTTTAGAAATGATCAAGAAAATTTTAAAGTGGGTGTTTGAACCTGGAAATCTTTGAATCAGTGATTCAAAAATTCTCTGATAGTCTGGCAAAACACTCAAATTCTCAGCACAAAATAATGATATTTATTTCCTTGCTTAGAGCCTGTCAGAATAATAAGCAGTAAATAATGCTTTTTGGTTTGGTTGTTTTTTTTTTTACATAAAACATTTAGAGTATGAAATTTTTTGTCTCAAAAATTAATAAAGATTATTCCTTGCAGGTGAACTAAAGTCTTACCTCAGAAAAAACATCTAATTATATGCTTAAGTCAGTCTATGTTCAACAGATCCTCCCCAAAACAACCCAGGAATTACAAGTACCTTTGGACAGACTGTCTTCCAGATTGGTTTATGTTTCTGGAGTGTCTGAATGATAAAGAAAACCTACTGAAAGACTGAGAAATTCACTTAACTGGAGGGAATTGTCCTGGTTTCACGCAAGGTGAGAAGATTCCCTGCTTGATGTGTCCTCCCTCAACTATAGGTACAGAACTCTCCCCAGCTTCCACTGAGCTCACTGGCAGTGCTGTGATTCATTTAATCAGGAGCAGGAGCCAACCAGAAATATGGTCAGTTTGATGAAAATGCAATGCATATGTCAAATTAAAGTAGGATCACATCTGTATTTTCTCTGCATCTTAAACAATAAAGTGAATTTTTTAGAGTTCTTTTGAAAAAAAAAAAAGGAAGAAAAAGAAATAATTTGACTGTTCTTTCCAAAGGAAACTTGGCAGCAGTAAAACTAAATGCAGAATTTAATGTTTTAAAATTCTAGGCCACCAACATTGATTTAACAATCTAAAATTATGTTCTTGCTCTGGGAGAGTTCGATACTGACTGACACTTTTTCTTTTCCTTCAAATCCTGGGTAAAAAAAAAAAAAAAAAAGGTCATCAAAATCAAATATTTCAAGTGCCAACTTGGAACAAATTTATGTAGCTAAACTATAAATGCAGATTTTTAGTGGGCAGGTAGACTTCCACTGGGCTAAAATCACAAATCATGGAAATAATATCTCTTCCTCTATAGAAAGGCAGACAGACTGACCAACACCCAGAGAATGCAGATCTCTTAAATACCTATAGATATTTGTCTTTATAGGGGAAGAAACTATTATTCTTGAGGGATATAGCCATAAGTGAATCATCAGGTTCTCTTGCATCTGAAGATAGGTGGCATATTTGACTAAAGACATGGCTTTTCTCTCTCTCTGTGAGAGAATCTCATTTGTAGCAAGGATTTATTCACCACTGCAGAATAAATGAGAATTAGAGCCATATGCATATGTATGAATACATAGTCACTACTCATAGTGATAGTGATGCAACCATTATTATGTTTGTTATATAGCTGAAATGGAATGGTGTATTGCAGAAATATGCCTAAATTTTGCTAAAAAGAAATCTGGGAGACACTGAGTACAGCCTGTGGAGTGAAGTATGATTCTATGATTCTATGAATATGATCATAACAAACAGAAAGATCAGAAATCAAAGCCCCATTTACCTTACCTTACATGGGATTGAATTTTTGGTTTATTTGAGGGTTTATTGTTTTGTTGATTTTTTTTGTTTGTTTTCAATTTAGCATTTATGGCCTATTTTAAAAAGAACAGATTGGACCTGATGTAAAATAAATTGGATAGTTGACTCGAGGTGATTTGAGAAGCCAGACATATCTTCAGTTGTTTTCTGTTGGCTACTTTTAAACAACTTTTGCTGTCTTGATCTAGCTCAACCCCAATGCGAACCACAAATCTAGAAACTTGTAGTTTCGCCAATTGTATCTATGGGTGGGATTCACATGCTTAAAGTTAGGTACATTGGTAAATTATCTGTTTGAAATGAGATCGTGAACAATAAGAACAACTCTTTGAAGAAGAGAGCTAATGTGCATCAAATGTAAAGCATTATGGGGAGGCAAATACAAGAGATAGAATGTGCATGATTTTAAGATGCCGAAATTTTAGGATTTCAGGTTAAGGTTTCCATGGTGATGCTGTCTTCATCTACTTCCATATGAACTTGAGTCTCTGCTGAGTTCCACCCACATAAAAGGATAGAACAGGGTCAAAAGTTTTCAGTATATTTCCAGGTAAATTACAACAGGAGATACGACACTGTCCAACATAAATCCAGTGTTTTGCATCCTAACCTGTCAAAAGTATGCTTTGTTACTTTAAAGTCCCTTTCTTTTCCTTAATGTTCACTTCTCAAAGGAAAACCTTGATTCAAGACTGTGAATTGGACAAAAAAACCTCACCATATTTCATGCAAGACATATTCTTTAATGAAGACAATATGAGCTCAGTGAAAGATCTAGTGAGCGGAAAGGTAGTTTATGCCATTTCTGCAGCAGGACAATTCTGAGGATTGTACAAGCAAGCCTTTCTTCAGTTGTTTTAATTTGAACCTAGTTACCCATTACCTTAAGCATTCCTGGAATGGTAGATCTCTATCCCCTTTCTTGTCCTGTCTCACCTGCTAGTCCCCTAGTCATAAGAACGCAACCTAACAGACAATTTTAACTGCTAGAATGATACAAAGAGGGTGCCATAATGGTGAGAATTTAGACCATAGATCTTTAGTTCAAGCCAAAGTAAGTAGGCCTTAGTAACCATGTCAGCTCATTCTGCATACCATTGTGATTTCTCATGTCCTCTACTACATGAGGTATAAACTGTTTTCTTCCACTTTATAGTTTCTTTGTGGCCTCTCTTTGCCTACCCAACCTGCATTTACTTGCTCAGTTCATAGCAGCTGGTGACTGTCTCTTCTGGCTCTGGTTATGGGCATCCTTCACCCACTTGTTACATTTTCAAACAAGTCACTTTCGGTTCCCTTCCCTGCCTCTGCCCTCACATATGGGAAGAATTTCCTAGAAACATCTGCAAAATTAATTGATTTTCCTCTGTCATATTCCTTTCTAAAACTCTGCCTACAAACAGCTTGAAATCAGCCAGACTGCTGGTATGTTGATACAGCCACCTGTTATACCAATCAATTTTGGTTTGTCATTTGCTTATACTCCCTTACATTCGTTACCCTACATCTGTCTCTTGCTTTGATACTAAGGTCCTCAGAGTCAACGTCTAATGTAATAGGACCTTAATCTATTGCTAGTACAAGCTCTGGGGTAACAGAAATCATAAAAATGAATGAGGCAGTTGTGCAGGAAATGTGCATCGTCATGAAATAGTATCAGCTGTGATAGCATTGTCACAAAATGCAATCACTGCCTAAAATAATGATCTCACTGACTGGTCAAAACTCTTTGACTTCAGTAAAACCCAGAATATTGCCCTTGGTCATTAAATCTTCAGATTTACACATTTTGGGGTATTTTTTTTTTTCATTAGCAATAATCAAAAAACTCACTCTTTGAAATTATTTTGATAATACCATTACCTGTTGACCACAGTCTTATCTTATCTGGTCTTTATTCTCATTTTTCACCTACTTGTTCTGCAGTGCAGAATTATGTGTATGCTTATATACTGCCAAAAATATTTATGACTGTTGTCAATAATTAATAATTATTTACAATCAGAATATTACATGAAGCACTTTGTCAGAATGAATCTATAAATTACAGGAGGTTGTGATGATGAATAACCAAGAGTGTTTTTCATTTACCATCTTATCTCAAGAAAGGCAAATAATCCCTTTAGAAATACTGCTGCTCAAGCAAAGCTAGCCAAAACCAGCTTTGGAGTTAAAAAAATGCCCACTCATGTTTGGGCTGAATATTCAGTATTTCCTACTCTTTGTTTCATAAATATAAATAACCATTTGGAGGAACATTCCTCCTAGAAACATGCATCTCTCAAACTGAAAATATAAGAAAGAATTTTGAGAAGTGAGAAATGCTCTGTGATAACATGCTGCTCCTATTAACCCATTATTGATGTTTCATTTTTTTGTTCATTTTACAAGAAGCTCAGAGCGCCCAGATCATGAGAACGTATCTTGTCTTTTCCTTCCCATTTCCTCTTTCTCTTTTTCCTCCAAAAGCTCAGAACTCAGCTGATGTACCCTTGGCATTATCTTAAAACACTTTTCAACAGTCTCATCACAAGGGACAGGGTTGTTTGTTTTTTTTTTTAAGCCAAACTCACAATCAATTTAAAGATTGTAAGCTATGGCCTGTGACCCACTCAAGGCATCGCGCTTTCCCAGGTGTAAGAATAGGTTCATGGAAAGTTCAATTGCTCACAGCAAAATTGAAAAATGAAAAGAAGTGAGAAAGAAGAGCTCTCTCTCCCCCACCCCACCACACACGTACATCTCTCCCACCGCGCCTCCCCCCTCGTCCCAGGACTATGCAAACTGTACCCCATGCACACTTGAAATGGACCCGACGACGGCTCCCGGCACAGCATGCACACGCGGGAGGGAAGGGGAGAAAAAGGAACGGAGGGGGATGCCTTCTCACGGTCTGATCACCACCATAAAGAGTTAAAGAGAGAGTGAAATGGCTAACGTACACACACCCCGCTCCATACCGGAGAAGAGTCTCCCAGCTGAGGTTTATGCTCTGTGAGGACCAGGCTGAAACTGACCGCCCCCACGGCCACGCTGGACACCCCTAACCCTATCTCCAGCACGGAGAGCACCAGGAGGCTCCCGATGATCTGGCTGCTGGTGCACATCCTCCCTTGGTCATCCTTTCTTCCCGATCAGCCGGGGAAACCGCGCATCCTCCTCCTCCTCCTCCGGCGCTCCCGCGGCGGTAAGTAGCCCCCAAAGTTTTGTTCCTTCGCCGGTAGCCGGGGCGGAGCGGCGCATCCGCTGCCGGCGGGCGTTGCCGAAGGGCCGAGCCGGGCTCCGCGCAGCGCCGCGCCGGCGGAGAGCGCAGCCCCAGAGCCGCGGAGCTGTCCAAGGTTCCGGATGGGCGGCGGGGACGGCAGCCGCTGCGGGCGGGCAGCGCGGCTGGCGGTGTACGGCACCGCTCTCCTCAGGGGCTGCGCCTCCGCCGGAAAAGTCGACCTTGTCTTATCGCCTCCTGCGCTCTCATTGAAATGACCTCACTGGGATTTTTTTACACAGCCCCCACCCCCATATTATTTCTCTTCCCCCCTCTCTTCCTGGGTTGGGAGTTGGAGCGGGGAGAGGAGTGTGGCGAGCCCACCCAGGCTATATTTATGTATGAATCGAGGCCCAATGCACAGGCGAGGCGGTACGGCCGCCCCGCCCCAGGGCCACAAGGTCCTCCCCTCCGGCGCCGCGGCTCGCACACCAACTCCGTCCTCCGACCCATCATCGGGAGGGTGTCAGGCAGCAAGGAGCCGTTGCAAAGCCATCTTCAGGCAGCGCTTCCCTAAAAGGGGAGCCCTGTCTATGGGGTGTGCACAGGCCTCCCTTCTCCCAGGTCCTGCTGCCAGAATTCAGGAAGAAGTCCATCTTCCTCTTGTATTAGTAAAGGGGCTGGAGTCTGTTATGTCTCACCACTGCAAAACTCCCTGGTCTCTTCCAAAACGCTGTCACCAAAATAGACGACTGTTGTAGCCATTCTTGTCACTCTGACAATAGCCAGGACTGTGTCAGTCCTAAAGCAAATGAGCAACAGAGCAAAACATCACAAAAGATTCAGAGCTGCTACTTGAGCCATGCTTGATTGCTTGGTACCAATCTTTGTTCCTGTGGCTCAGAGACAAGGAATGCTTCACCACTCTAATTAAAGTTTTACAATCCAGATCTGCTGCACAGCATGGTAATATGTAAACACTCAATCTGGCACCTTGGTTCTCCTAAATATGGATCTCTGACTTTTGGACACTTACTTAAACAACAGGGCAATGGTGCTCTTTAACAATTGTATCCCCAGACTCTAGATCATAATTCAAAAACATCAACATCCTGTAGTATTTAGCTAATTTTCTCTATTTTTAAAATTCTAAACAAAACATACATGCAATTCTTCCTTGTATGTGAAAATCTGTAATTCTTAACCTGCACAGACATTCTATACTCAGGCATCATAATCCAGAAGGGCAGTCTAGACTTATTCATTATTTTAATGGTGCAATTTAGAGGCAAGAGCATAAGATTGGCTAGGTCCTAATTGAGCCCATTTCTTTGGGCTCCAAAACCTGTGCCTTTTTTTTTGAGAAGATAGCCACTGAACCACTATCACCAGCACTTGTTAAAGTGCAAGAGAGCAAGCTATACATAGGTTTTATACACACTTCAGAAGATTAGACCCTCCACTACACGCCAGAGTTTAGTTCCGATTTGTAGAAGTCTTGTATACCTAATAGTTGTGAGTGGAGTGAGACTGACACCAAAGTCTGTCACCTTAATTTTTTTTGGTTCTTTAGGTACCTGAAAGTGAGAGAAAGGGGTACCAAGACAGGATCTTAATGGTTTCTACTTTAAAATTTCAGCTGTTTCCTATTTTCTTACACTTTTCCCAGTTCAGAGAAGCAGAGCAGGTGACTACATCTAAAGGAAAAGCTGCATTACAGTTAAAGCTGAATTGTCTCCTTTTCAACTCATCTTTTAAATGGTACCTGACATCTCCTACCATTAAAAATCAAGGCACAGCATTGAAGTTCCTAAGCTACTATATTTATGTAAGACGATGGAGAAAGTACCCACATATGTGTAGGAAGGTGTTTCTACAATGACAGTATCCTTATTATGTCAGATTGTTATAAATGTTAAAGTGTGCTGAGGTGCAATGATCTTACCGCTCAGAGTATATTTTACCAGGACTATAAAAGCCAGTGGTGATAAGAGGGGAACTGTATAATGACAGATATAATTAATATATTTAATACTCACAGCCAGAGAGAACGCATATCATATCAGGATAGAGTTCATGTGACAGAAATAAGATTTCCATAAACAACTTGTTTTGTGTCACATTTCCACCTCAGTCATAATAAGCTGTCAGAAAGATGGGGAAGGAAGGAAGAGACCTTGTGAAAAGGGTGTCCTAGATGGAGATCACTTCATGCCATGATTACTAAACCAGGGATACAAAACTGGAGTGGATTGGCAGGAGAAGAAGTGCTCTGGGTGCCTGCTTCCTAAGCTGCAGGCTGCTGCAAGGTGAAGAGGTAAAGAAGACCTCAGACAGAGTTAATAAGATGCCCAGGAGAAGCTGTGTGAGTTATCTCTGCTTTGCACCCTTTCAAATAAAGGCAGGAAGGAAATGTAATATTCTAATCATTATCTTTTTAAAATGAAAAGATACAGTCTTTGTTCATGTAATCACTTTAGTTTATTTGTACTGTGGTGCTGCATCGTCATTATGTGCTGATCTAGGCAATTAACTTTACACATGGGACTATTCATGCATACATTTCAGCACATGTTTGCATCTTTGCACCATTAAGGCACTCTTTTCCAGAGTTATTTAATTGCTTGCTGTCTCAACTGGCTGGTTTGAAATATTTTCTGTATTTGTTGATTCCCATAACAAAAAGATTATGATGAAATACTAGGGAAAAAAAAATCTAAAAATCATTCAATGTACAGGCAATTTTTCATTATCACTACAGAAAGTTAAATACTGAAATCCCGTCTCCAAAGTACAATTCACTAGAGCTGTGAGGGATGTGGATTTTTAAATTTAAACTCTTGTATTAATGAAAAAAAAGACATCAATCTTATTCTTGACTTCTTTGAAGGAAAACTTTTTTTTTTTAATCATTGGAGACTTTGAAAATGGTTCATGACAAAAAAATCTAGTCACACAGCAGGATGAAGGGTAATTGGATGACATAGTACTGGCAATGAAGAAATAGACACAAAGGCTTGTTTATACTGAGTCCCTTTTATGTGGCTCTGATGGCCAAAAGGAGAGACACAAAGTTGTAGCCTCTCCAGTGGAAATCAACAGTTTTATGTAACACTTTCAAGCATGTATTCATGGCTGAACATACCCTGTTAAAGTAGTTGAATCTATTTACTTCCTAATTCCATGTGTCTCTTAAATAATATTGTAAAAGTCTTTATTGTGAATAAGAGCTGGAACTGTAGCATTAAATCAGAATTCAGGCCACCAAATCCAATTCAGCCTAGGTAAATGATGAATAAAATTGAAAATGTGCAGCCATCCTATGGCTGCTTAGAAGATGAGTCAGTGCAGTTGCAAGAGGGGATGTACTAAACCTAAATGTTGGTGTTACTAATATGCAGGTATAATTCTTGGGCAAATAAACAGAGATTTGAGTGACCTTGGAAGATAGATTACTCTTTTACCTTATGGATTTATTCTCTAGCCAGTCTCAAGGAATATTAGTTGAGCTATCTTGGAATAAATGACACAGACTGAATGACTTCTACTGGGCATTCTTTAGGAAGTGGAAAAATTCAGCCCTCAAGGACAGCTTGTGAATCTTTTTCACAGGCACCTTCTGTTTTCACCTTACTTTGCATATTCCATCTCTTTACACTGTTTTGTCACCTGGATCCTTTTGATTGAGGTTGACTGAAGCAAAAGCAATGGAGAGCAGCACTCTAATAAGCACCTTTCAAGTTTTTGGGGTAATACACTGCCCTGGATTCTACAAAGAGATGCCTATTAATTTAATTCTAAAACTAAGTGTATCAACTGCATCCTATCTAGAAATGTGTACAAAACAACCTTTGGAACATTCCCTCTTTTTTGTGCAAAATCTCAGTACATTTTACTCCTTAGTTTGTCCATACTCTAAATAAGCATGCACTGATGTTCTAAAATGGGAAGCAAACCGCATTGGAATCTTGTATTGGAGAAGATAAGGGCCTGACATTGATTTTATCTGTTTAAAATTCAATACTCAGACAAACTTTCTGCTGAATGAGTAGCTCAGCCCCAACAGAGCTAGGATCTGTGGCACTTATGTGGCTGTTTGGGTTGTTAGGTCACAGTTGTTTTTCTTGGACCAAGTCATTAAGGTATTGTCTTCTAACACACCAAAAAATCTGATGACATTCTAAAACTATTTGGCACATGTTTTCATTCAAGAGAATTTGAAGGATTTGTGACAGTCATTGATGCTGGATGGAAAATTTCACATTTTCAGCTTTGGGTTGGATAGTGAAAACTGTATGCACTCTATATAACCCAAATTAAAAGCAGGTATAGATTACTTTTCTTTGGATTTACTCTTAACTGCCCATTTTTTTTTTCTACAACTGTAAAAATGTCTGTTCCCTTCAAGACACCTTTTACTAGCTTGGCTAGGTGGCAGAAGGATACTCCTTCAGTAGAAGAAATCAGAAATCTGTTCACAAATTCTAAGTGTCCTGCTACCCCAAAACATCAATTAATAGTGTGTGTGAAATAACTTATCCCTACGTTACTTACAAGGATAGGAACCATAGGATCTTTAAAGTGACTTGCCTAACAATGTATATAAAGTCTGCAGATGAACCGAGAAGGTCTCTTTCATCCAGTATCCGTGTCCTATTAAATAAAGACTCTTTGCTTATCCTTGGGCTTGCTACGAACCTAAGCCTTTACACATAAATATTTTGAATGTGTGAGAATAAGAGAAGGGCTGCATAATACCATTCTTTCCACAAAGATGAAAAAGAAGAAATAGCACAGGATAGAAAACTCAGGAAAACCTTGCTGACGACTTTCCACTTTGATGCCAAAGGGTTGTGAGATAAAAAGTGTTAAGGCAATGACTACCTTGCACGTTCTAACCTGTGCACCAGCAGGAACAGAGATGCATGCTGAATCTATTAAGTCCCTATTTCATCTGACATATGTATGTTTAAATAATGTGCTCCCTATAGCAACTTGATGACTTTATCTATTAAGTATGTTATCCTGATCCTAAGGGAGGAAGAGGATCTTATACTGAAAGGCGGGAGTCCTTGTTGAACTCTTCAGCTTCTCTTTGATGTATATTACAATCCACATCTTAGCATCTCTTAAGGTTTCTTAGTAGGAGAGGATGCTCTGATTTAAATGGGACAGGAGAGGAGGATTTTTACATCACCTATGCATATACGTTGGAAAGAAAGGATCTATCTAGGACCTTTGCCTAGATGATTGCCTTGAAGATGATCTGAAGTAAGACAGTATCTGGAGGCACTTTGAATTTTTCACTCTTGAACCACTGGAGAAGTTACTCTGTAACTCTGTAGTATATATCACAGCTCCGCACCTGAAGCTGTGAAGCTACAGATAGGTGTTCTAGCGGTATATAGAATGCATATAGCAACTCCACAAAAAAAAAAGGC